TGTTAATAGTAGATATTAATTGGATATGTTCCAATCTGTGTATTGTACCACCAGTTGCAATAGCAGTCACCTAGTGCTCCTCCCACCATGGCTAAGTGCTTGCTCCATAACAAGCTAGTGCATGCTCCACCATGGTTTGATGCATAACAAGCTAGTGCATGCTCCACCATGGAGAGGGGGCGGGTCTCACAACTGACTGCTATAAATATGAACAGCAGCAGTTGGAGAAAAACACACCAAAATAGAATTGAGAGCTATTGATCTTCTCTTCACCGAAAACTCAACGTTGGCTATAATTTGCATTCCTTCTTCTTAGAATTTTCATTCGACTTCTGAGTTCTCCTCCCTTGTTATGCATTGTTTTAAACTACAAACAAAGCAACCGTAAGTGTGATTTGCTGCCGAACTTTGTGTTCGTTGAAACACTGGGGTTTGAAGTACCGCTACACCAGTGTGTAATTCGTTCTATCCTGAGAGGAAATAATCCATAACCTTGGGTACTAGGAGGGGATTAAATTTCTTAAGGAAACACTGTGAATTCAGTGGGGTCGAATTAATTTCTGGTTCATTTATATCATTTATATTTACGTTTATAAGCTAACGTTCTAATTTCCAGAATCATTATTTACAAATACAGGCTTAATAACATACTCTACATCCGTCACTGCCCGTATCCCTACCTGGAGAGGTAGAGTAACTAAAAGAAGGTTTACAATTGTATTAATACACTACCTGTTTTTCATATGTACACTTTGATTATTCAACTTGAGATAAAAAGACAACAAAAATTTTGCACAAAATAAATTAATAAGATAAAAAGCACACAATTCTGAAAAATGGAGGGTATTTGTCAGTTTAAAAGCGTGATAGCCTTATAAGATGACAAAGGTAATTTAAACATATAATTTAAATACTAGTATAAGTTAAGAAGAATTATATACGAGAAGTTATTGACATTTTCATTCATTTAAACAAAACAAATGAAAAATATTGATGTCATAGAATGAGAAGGAAAAAACAACCTAATTGTCTCACTAGAAACCCTTGTAAATGACAACAAAGCATGGCAATATAGCCTTAGGATTAAAAACATACAACTCATCCAAATTGGAATAAACTCCAGCAGCTCCAGCAATTGAATCATACTCCTCCAAATTCCCATCCAAATTTTTCTTCACCCTTCCTGCAATCACCCTGCAAACTAACATTGCCCTCTTGTCATTATCATCATCATCATCATCATCATCATCTGGCACAACTCTCGTGCTATCGTGCGCCTTCCCACTCGTTGCCGTTGTCAATATACCTGTTAAAAATTCGAATCATTTTCTATCGAAAAGTATGAAAAAAGAAAAAATTGTCTCTTCATTCAGTAATTACCTTTCTTTGTACCATCAGTAGTAGCCAACTTGAAGCCATTTTTGATGATAGTACAAATGTTACAATTTGGGACAGTGCACAAATTTGAGGAGCCATTTAGGCCAAGGGAACACATGAATGTTGTGCAATGAAACCTTAGGAGTTCATTTCCATCAGCAATACAACGTGGGTGTTTTTTGGGAAGGTTAGTGGCCTTAGCCTTGATACCATCTCTATACTCCTCAAATCTTGATATTGTTCTAGGAGTATTTCTGATTTTCAAGATTCTGTCAATCTTGCATACTGGGGTCTTTTTGTTCAACCAGCTTGACTGAAATATGATTTCCACTATGTTTCTACTTGTGTCCTCTGGACCCAACTCAGATACTGACATTTGATATGATCAAATCAGTAAATAATACTAACAAATAGAATAAAGTATAGACAAAAGGATAAAGAATGGGCATGTTATGTTATGTCTATTTTTTGTTCTTTTTACCGTATTTAATAAGACTACTTATTTTGGGGAGATTAGTGCAGAGTATTAATTAATTAAAAGGAACTTCCTAGGACACTGGCGATAGAACTTGAAAATTTTGAAGAAAGGACGACATTTTTATTTTTTATTTTTTATTTTTTATTTTAAATGACATAGGTATTTGATGTTAAACATTGTGAAATATTATTTGAAATCATAGAAACGACAAGACTATGATTTTGGGAGACGAACATTATCAGTGAATAGACTCAGCTCCGTGCCCAAAAACTTGTACTAATAAAATATGCCAATCAGCCACAGGGAGACAAGAGTCATTGAGTTCGAGACTTCACAGAAAAGTTTGACTAAAGAATTGAGGAAAAAGAGATTCCCTTTTAAAGTATCATCCATGAAACAAAGGATTAAAAAAAATACATACATCATTTTTGTAAATGATAATAAAGGAGAAAAGAAGAATTAATCCAAATAGCAGCATAGTGTAGCTAGTAATTTTTCCAAGGGTGTTTAAATTTAAAAAAAAGTGAAAAGAATTTCCTGTGACAAAGATGTTCAATATATGTTATATACCTTTAAAACGTAATATTTTATTTATGTACACAGTGCAACTTATGACTATGTGGCTTCGCCATTGGGCACACTCAATAAATTAAATTAAAAATAGCTGACGAATAGATAATATACGGTCAAACCTGTCTATAATATAATCTCTATATAACAACTTCATTATAAAAGCCAAGCTTTTCCGGAATCAATTTTCATGATATGTTATAATATGTGTTCTATATAACAGCACTCCGCTATAACATCCAAAAATATTCCGAACAAACAAAACTGTTAGAGAGAGATTTGACTTTATGTATATTCAAACATAATTTATATATATAATATGTATACCGGCTAGAAAAAAAATACTATTTGTATAAAGATCCGAAAAATAAATTAGAGAAATTACCAGCATGTCTAACAGCTTGATGAAGTTCCAAATTCTCAAGTTTCGTAAAGATGTCTCCACATTCAGAACAAATAGTTGATCTCAAAGAAGGGTCTCTAGCAATGGGATCAACCACCATTCTACATTCATAGCAACCAGAAAGTTTTCTGAATGGCATTCCTCTTAAAGAGGAAGTAGTTGGAGAAGTAGAAGGAGCAGAAGTAGAGTGTAGCGAAAAAGAAGAAGAAGAAGAAGAAGCAGAGGAAAAACTACTAATGGCATTATTATTATTCAGAGTAACTTTTGTGGATCCATTATTTTTACAAGAACGTCCTTTGGGAGGAGATGGTGATGGCTCAGGCCTGTGCATGACTTTTGTGTTGCTACAAATGGACCCTGAACACTTCATTTTCTTGCACTTTTTGTTGTTGTCGCCGCGTTCTTCACATTTAGGAATCTTCTCTTCTTTCAATATTATCTGCTGTTCTGGCCTTGCTTGTAGATGTTTACAAGTAAATAGGCTCCTTACAACTGCCCATGAATGTGGTTTCTCTTCTTTCTGGCCATGGCTGCTGCTTCTTGATTTGGAGCTTTGTTTGGATTGTTTAATACTGGGATTTCTTTTGCTTTTGGCCATGGCAAGAAAGAGAGAATAATAACAATACTGTAAAAAGAGTAATGTTGGGGTTGTGGTTTTTATAAGTAAAAAGTGATGGGCATCTCTCTTTACAAGTCTCAGACTCTAGTCGGGGCCTTTTGCTTTAGAATAATGAAGTGAAAACAGGTGGGAGAGTGGAGTGTGGAGTAAAAAGAGGGAAGAGTCCTTTTCTTGTAATGCAGAATTCTGGATTGTGGTTTTGTGGGCCTTGCTCATTAATAACTACTCTATGTCTATACACTCGTTCGCCTCTTTAACTATCACCGCTTACTAGGGCCGTGCAAAATCAAACCCAACATATGCCTTATTGCTTATTGATATCAAATTATCGGGATAATAGATGATGAACGGATTGAGATTTTATAATTAACGGCTTAACGGTTTGGGGGCGAATGACTCAATTTTCTTATCGGGTAAACCGTTAAGAATTTTTATATTTACACTTTTACCCCTATGTATATAAATTTGTTACTACATTGTTGCATAAGTAGTTGTACATAGAATGATAGAACTGTCTGTAGCTAATGACAGTCATCTCTGGCTTCTCATGAATTATGAGTGGACATGAGTTGCATTCTTCTTTAGGCCATAGTATTACGTTTGTGGATAACAATGCTAATAGTATTGATTGTTTAAAAACAAACAGAGACAGTTTGAACTATGCATTTAGCTGTTTGGTATTGATTGTTCAAAAAATTTCAATTTGGTTTAGCCGATAAACCGCCCGATAATCATAAATCTGATACCAATTCGCTCGTTGTCTTATTGGATGGCTAGCGGATTACTACATTTATAATTCTATAACCGATAAGCTAAACCATTAGCGTAATTATCCGCCCGATAAACACCCCTACTGGTTCCTACCTGGCTTCCATTTTGTTTGACACTAATTTCTTATTATATCCTTCTAAAACAAATGATATATTTTATATTTTCTTAGTAAAAATTTTTTATAGGCACACAAATTTTATGTCATGTTTAAGATCATCAGTTTCGAAAGTTTCATCGCTTTATAAATTGTTATATATTTAAAATCACAAGTTTTAAAACTTTTGACAATAGTGATTTGTTCAAGTAGTTAGCATCCTCCATTTTCAACCCTAAAGTTGTGGGTTCAAATCACCAAGGGAGCAAAATTAGAAGCTCCTGACAAAAACATTCAATTGTTGATCTTAACTATCATAGAATATGTTATTCCCTCAGTTTCATTTTATGTGGCACACTTTTCTTTTTATTGTACTCTAAAAAGAATCCAAAAAAGAATGACATTGTTATGAATAGGCCCATTATTGATTATGTTATTGGGTTAGAAGCTAAGATATTTGGGCCAGTTGCTGAATTGAGCAAAACCCAACGTGTGATATAGGATCCAGGTTGAGACAAGACTGTTGAGCTGAAAAGAATACAAAGCTTATATATAGCAGGAGGGTGTATCGTGTAGAGTATGGAAATACTGAGTCTTTTCTTTAATTTGATTTCGCTCTTGTTGGAGCACTCTGGAACCTCCCTCCATTCTTGTTTCCCTTTTTAGTTCTTTTTCCTTGTATCCGATATTGTTTGTCCTTGGAATCAATCTCTCTTCAGTAAATATAGATCCATTATAGACATACTTTAAATCTTCAATTTTATTATTAATAGTATAATTTATAATTCCATTTATTTTAGACAACACGTTTCAAAAGTTTATCTTTTTTACTAAACTCTACAATCAAAGTAATAGTGACACATATTTAAACTTTTTTGGACAAGATATTTTGAGCTATTTACAAATTTCAATTCTGACATACTTTTGGTTCTACAAGAAGTTTGCATTATGTTTCCCTGCCGGGCTACAGTAGAGTCATATACACTTGTGCACAGTGTAGGAAAGTATTATAGACATCCATTCATCATATTGCTTAGCTGCAACTATGGATAAGACAGTCACCATTTTTATCACTAGTGAGAGTGTTTCTTGATATTCTATTCTTTCCTTCTCATTTTCCACTCGCCTCGCTTTAAACCTTTTTACTTCTTAATTAGCTTGATACTTTAATTAAGTTTGGCATTCAATGGCCAGCACTGTAAGGAATAAGGTTTTCAAAACAATAAGCTCCTTACCCAGAGAAAGCAAAATTGCGAAGAGCAGACAAAAAATATTTAAAGCAGGCAGAGAAAGCAGATACTTATCCATGGAGCTAGTCCCTATGTTGTCCTAATTGATTGGTAATGGTTCTAACTTTTTGAAGTTTCCACAATGAGTTTAGGACATCCTCCTCTGGTTTTGGTTGAGTGCTTTATATTTCAATATACAAGTGTAGGCTCCCATTTCTTCCGTACGTTTTGTCAAGTAATTTGTTGGAGAAGAACTTGTAGTATCATGACTAACTAATGTGCAAGATAACAGCTCCATAAACTGCCTAATCTGCAAATTTGTTTCAACATATAGGAAGGCATGAGAAATTCTCCAAATTAGTTTTCTTTCTCTGGACAACAACTTATTGCTTTTATGAAATCCATAGTCTTTACCATGCTAGCGCCAAACTTATTCCTTTAATTTGCAAGTTTTATGTGCTAAACTAAAATGCATGTTCATTTGAAAAATGATTGTTTAATTCGAAATTGAACAAAGCATAACAAAAGATTAAAAAGATGGGATAATTAATCTTTTGAAACTACGGCAAGTTGAGGTTATTACCAGCTCTCTATTCCTAGTTTAATTGTTACTAAGCTCTCCATGTAATATTATACAAGTCATAAACTCGGATGTTGAAGAAGGAGAAAAAAGCTGCTAAAAGGATTTCACAAACTCGTTCTACAAAACCAGAAGTCTCAACAAGTACTTGGAAATAAAAAGATACAAGATATAAGAATAATTAGTAAAGAGTATGTCTCAGGAAAGTTGCAATGGTCTAGCTCTCCTTTAATTGTTATTAAGTGCTCTTTAATATTAAGAAACCAGAAAGCCACCATCTTCCGGTTCTTCTTCTCTTAATTAGGCCTCGATGATTGTGTCATTTTCTTGGTCCAAACATTATAGGAGACTAGCCGAAAACCTTTGCTTACCAAAATGACAGAGCTACAACACCAATAAGTAATATGGGTAAAGCAATGAAAATTAAGAAGCTTGTTCCAAACCCCTGATTGGATCGTCACCCATATATCATAACCAAATCTGTCAGCTAATCTCAAGATTGCAATGGAGTCATCAAGCAATATCAACTTCTACCTCGATCTCCATAGCACATTAACTCCCCAGAACTGGAAACACGGAGTCATGAACTCTACAATATGAATATAAGTCTATAATATAAACATACTGTTTGAAACAACAACAACAATAACATCAAAGGAAAATAGGAAGAGACGTCAGGTACTGCAATCAAGTAGCTCTACCTCGATCTCCACAGAACAGCAAACAACTCAGTTCACAAAGCTCGACTGGGTCCAACTCATGAATATGCACAACTAAGTGTAGAATGTAGTATGATACAATCGATCCCAGGTATTTGATAACGGAGGAAAAACTCCGCAATCACGGAATCAAGCTCTCCGCTCAAAGAAAATGCACCCAAAGTAAAAGGAATACGTGTAAAAATACGTAAAACCCTCCTTGGGTAGGGTCACTCAATCTGATAGATCTGGAGCAATAATCTTCAAATCATGGCAGCAGCAGTCATCCATCACAACAGGAATGCTGGAAGGACGGATGGAAGAAGGGTACCTACTGACGGCCCATGTACGAGAGTTAGCAGTAAGGAATTTTTCTTCAAAGTCTTTTGTGGTAATAAGACTTCTAGGGATGATGGAGCCCACTATTGGAGAAACAGAGTCATCGACCTTGTTCTTGTTCTTTAAAAAACTGGTGCGCTTTGAGGAAGAAGCCATTGTGGAAGAAGAAGAAGGTTTTTTGTTCGAAGAAAGTTAGAGAAAAGATGGAGAACAAAGATGCAAGTCACATAAGAGAAGCTTGGAAAATTATAGAGTATAAGAGAGAAAGTTGATGCGTATAAGCAAAAGTTTTGGCGGCTAAATTCATGGTCATGATTACTGTAGTAATTGACAGCAAGAATTTCAATAATAACACTGCTTCAATATTATTTGTAAGCGGAAACACGGATTGACTTGAGTCGTGCTAGGCACAGTCCTAAGAAACTATTTCAACAGTGTGAAATATCTCTCCAGGATTAAACAAGCCTACTTCTATTAGGGAGGATACAGGAATCGGCAAAATATTAAATTACAAACCTAGATAGCTAGTAGAAAAAGTAACTAAGAAAGGAAACAATTACTAATATTTAATATTGGACAACAAAGGAAGAAGAGAGGCGTGAAAGGAAATGAAAGAAATGATGTTTCTGTCGTGTCAATTTGGCTGAAGGGAAGTCCTTTTATAGGCAAAAAGCTTAAGGTTTTTCTTGTCATTTGTCAAGTATAATTGTCAAAACTTGTATGCATCTTGCCACATAGATGGACATTTGTCCACTTTTTGGAAATATCACAACAATTACCTCTATAATCGGCAAAAGCTATGCTGAATCATGGAATGACGCGTGTTCGGGACATTAAATGCGGAGAGATGCGCGTCTAATCAACCATTAAAAGCCTTCAAAGGGAGTTATAGTAATTCCCGCCAAAAGAATGTTTCTACCAACTTTTCGGTAACACAAAGTTATGTCACCGGAAAGCAGGGGGACTATCTGTATAGGGTAAAATACGCTATGTCACGTAGCCGTCCAAAAAAGGGACATTTGGAACCTAAAACGGGGGGAATGTCCAAGACCGAAGGCAACTGTTTCATCTGTCACCGGGGAGAATACGCTCATAAGGATGTAATAAAAACTCCTCGCCCAGTAGCATTTAATAAGGAATATTACATGGTATTAAATACGATTGTCCGTTACAAGAAATTTGGCACTTATGCTCACCGTTACATCTTCATCAATGACCCTCATAATTGACATTAAAGAGGGGCATGATCCTAGGACTTCCTTCCCTAGACGTAGCTATAAATAATAAGCTCAACTATCATTGCAAAGGGGAGGAATTTTCTGGCAAACTTAGAATATATTATATACAAATTATTGTTGTGCCCGGAAACCTTATTCTCGG